ATCTGTGGAAAGGGATGTACAGGTCAGAAGGATGAGATCTTCTGGAGAAGGTATGGATAGATGTTTTGAATTGTAGGAGATTGTATGCGTAAGACGGACGATGATTATTGATTATTTGGTAAAGGAATGTGCCTAGGAAATATTGCCTTCGGAAGGAGGGAAAGAGCCATCCTAAATCAGCATAGTGGTGCGAAACACGGGAACGCCTCAAGGTCCCGGTGACAAATCTTACGAGGGTGTTCATAATTCTTTTCAGTCTCTCCCTGAGTTCTACCGAGAGGCCACTGTACACCATGCAGCCATAATCAAGGTGAAGGAAGATTGTAGGAGTCTATGTGTGGGAGTGGGTAGGAGATGGCGGAAGTGATGGAATAGTTTCAAGGTATCAATTGAATGTCGGGAGATGTGAGCAATATGGTGTTTCCAGGACAGTTTGGTCTATGAAAATGCCTAGGTTTTTTACTGAGGAGGGGAAGGTGATGGGATGGTCATTTAGGTACAGGATAGGAATGTTGGTATTGGCTTTGAGAAGGGGTTAGGAACCAATGACTATGGCTTGAGTTTTTGCAGTGTTTAATCTTAGTCCATTTAAGTTTTCCCAGGCAATGATCTGATTCAAGTCTTATTGTATTTTGGCAAACGCATCATACAAGTCTGAGGAATAGAAGGAAAGGTAAATTTGGGAATCATCGGCGTAGAGGTGATGGGAGCAGGGAAGGATTAATTTATGGATGTCATTGATATAAGAACTAAAAAGTAGAGGAGATATGCTAGAGCCCTGGGCCACTCCTGAGGACAGAGTAAGATAGGAAGATAAAGGTTGATTAGGGATTACGGCAGCTTGTGAGCGTTGAAAGAGGAAAGACTGAAACCACAGGATAGAACTATTGGAAAAGGCTAATGATTTTAATTTGGAAAAGAGAATGGAATGGTTGATGGTATAAAAGGCTTTGGAAAAGTCAAGAAATATAAGGACAGTTAGTTTTTATCATCTATGGCGGACTGAACTTCACTAATGATTTTGATTAGGGAGGATTGTGTGGAATAACCTGATCGGAAACCAGATTGCTAAGGGTCAAGTTGATTGGACTATTCTGAAAACTTGGAATTGCACTATTCTCTCCAGGGGTTTCGAAAGGTTAGAAAGGATTGAGATTGGCCGAAAATCTTCAGGGGAAGACGGGTTAGAATTTTTATTTAAAGGACGGACGACCGTGGCTTTTTTCCACAAGGAAAGGAATACTGAATTTTGAAGGGAGAAATTATAGATAAAAGGAATACCGGAAGGATTTCAGGGAGGCATAACATAAATAATAATAATAATAAAGGCTTAGCGAACCCGAAGGTTCGATGCCGACACCACCAATCGCTTATTACACAACACCCTCCACCACTCGCCGTCCAAACCCAGTCTCATCAGGTCGGCTTTAATGCAATCTTTCCACCTTCGCTTCGGTCTACCCCTTGGACGTTTACCATTCGGTAAAGCAAATATTAACCTTATAACATAAATAAGCCAGACTATATTTGTGGAGAAAGCACATAATTCAATGATCAAATCTCTACTAAATATATTATTATTTCACTGGAATTATGTAACATAAAATATTAAGCAGCACAATAAAATCAAAATATTATGACATCATATGAAACAAGGTATGTAGTAGCTCAATTATTTCAATTTACCAAAAAAGAGTCCCTGACAACATTATTGATACAAAAACATGATGCTGGATTCTGCAATTTTAAATACCACCATATTGTCATAATGTAATGTGCAATCCGAAATCCTACTGATTTTCATGAATGACGACCCTGACAACATAAAAATCGACTCAAATATCGATTTAATCCGAAAAGTTACAAAAACGTCTGGGGGGCACAATCTCAAATTCGATAGTATTTTCATAAAAAGCGCCCTCTAAAACATAATAGTTGTCCTTGATATCGATTAAATCCTAAAAGTTACAAAAGGTCAGTGCCCGGGGGCGCAATATCAAATTCGACAGCATTTTAATAAAAAGCCCCCCCCCCCAAAAAACATAATAGCCAACCCTGATATCGATCAAATCAGAAAAGCTCCAAAAGGTGGATGCCCAGGGAAGGCAATCTCAAATTCGACAGTATTTTTTATAAAAAGGGCATCCCAAAACACAATAGTCGACCCTGATAACGATTAAATCAGAAAAGTTACAAAAAGTCGATACCAATTCCTCGTTGAAATATGAGCAATCTCAGTTTCAATGGTTATGTATCTTTTTTTAGAGAATAGCAAATTCCTCATAAGCTATCAATAAATGAAAGTTGCCCAATTATGGATGTCGTTCTTGGGGTTTTCAGCCTTCAGAAATAAATTTCACTAACCGGGCTTTGGAATGATCCTTTCCTTATGAATTTTTAAAATTAGATAAGTTTAAAAGTTTGTGATCCCTTTGTAATAAAAATATCTGATGTGGTAACTCCTAGCTTTCGTGTCTCATTCTTTCAATATACAATTGTTGATGACATGTTTTTCTGCATGCTCTCCCTCAAGATGATCTATTAACTTTTATACTTCAAAAGTTAAGATCAATCAGATCATCCTCACTAGATATAACACTTGATAGATATGTAAAATTATCCTAAAATGTTGGAAAAGAATGAGAGACGAGACCAAGGTAAGGGAAACCGCATCAGATATTTATACTATAAAGGCACCACACAATTTTGGGGACACATCTAATTTTAGAAACTCTTTAGGAGAGGATAATTTTCATTTGGTGTTTCCTTATGAGGAATCCTGCTATTCTCTAAAAGATGGATTCATAACCATAGAATACACATATCTCAATATGGAATTGGTATCGACTTAGCCAAAGGCTTGCCACCTTTTCTTCTTTAGAAAGGGTCTGATTTGACATCTGCCTCTGGGCATAAAACGAAGATAAGGCCACTACAGTTTGTGAAAAAAACTTAAGATTTATAGAAATATTTTCGAAACTCTGCCTAAATTAAAAGATTTCAGAAGAAAATATCTTGGTTACCACCACCATTCGCTTATTACACATCTCCCTTCACGCTTTGCCGTCCAAACCCAGTCTCTTCAGATCGGCTTTAACGCAATCTTCCCACCTTCACTTCGGTCTACCTCTCGGACATTTACCATTCGGTACAACAAATATCAACCTTTTAGGAATTCTTTCGTTACTAAGCTTGACTATTTTACAAGTCCATTTGATTCTCCGCGATGTAATCACCTCAATTATACTAACTGGATACAGTTCACGCAACTCGGCGTAGTGCAACCTTCTCAACTCTCTGGTTAACTCATCTTCGGTCCGAATATTCTACGCAATACTTTATTTTCAAAAACCTTAAGACGTTGCTCATCTCTTAATGTAAGCGGCCATAAAGAACTGTTGGTAGGATGATGGTTTTATAGATTCTAGTCTTTCAATTCCAGGACAAGATGAGCGAGCTAAGTAGTTTTGTCACAGAAAAATAACAAGCATTTCCCGCCTTCAGCTTAACCTTAATCTCCTCTTCAATTTCGTTTTTTCTAGTTATCATAGAACCTAGATACTTAAACTTCTCTACCTTTTTAAACATGTTACCTTCAATATCAATATCACCATTTTTGCAGCTAACCATATATTTTGTCTTATCCGTGTTTATTTCGAGGCCTAGTTCTTTACCGGCTTTCATTAACGTTGTCATATTTAGTTTTATAGTTTCTTGTCTTCGCTTAACAGGACCAGATCATCCGCATAGCCAAGCACGGTGTTGTTCCACCCAGATCCAACCCTTTTTCGGTACGCATTACCTCCCTAATGGCATGTTCTAATGCCAAATTGAACAGGACAGGCGAAAGGGAATCACCCTGTTTTAAACCCGAACGAACCTCAAACTTTTCGGATAAATTATTACCGATTCTAACTTTATTGAGTGTTTCCGTCAAGCACATCCTGACTAGATTTACTATTTTTTTGGAATCCCCTGCTCAATTAGAATATTATACAGTTTCTGGCGGTCAATAGAATCGTAAGCCTTTTTGAAATCGATATACAGCTGGTGAACAACACCGTTGTACTCCAATTTTTTCTCCAATATTTGCCGTAAAGAAAATATTTGATCAATAGTCGAACGATTCCGTCTAAATCCGCATTGGTAGTCACCGATAATTTCCTCGGCATATTCTGTGATTCGACTTGTTAAGATTAAAGTGAATATTTTATAACATACGGAAGGAATGAAATTCCTCGATAGTTATTACAATCCGCCCTCGGACCCTTTTTGTGAAACGGAATAAGAATAGATTCTTTCCATTCTTCGGGTAATTTCTCATTCGCCCAGATCTTTTTAACCAATGTATTTTAGAAACTCCAGCTTCCCCGCATGCCTTAATTAGTTCACAAGGAATATTATCGGTTCCTGCTGCTTTATAAGATTTTAATTTTCCGATAGCTACTTCAACTTCCTCTTTACTCACTCTGTTCTTCTATTAACGGTTCAGCAATCTGGTATTCAGAAGGAGGACACAGATCCTACGTCACCCTCCAGCAAGTCTTGGAGGTCCCCTCCCTCAAACAAGTCTGGAGGTTCCCTCCCTCCAACAATTAACAAGGGACCATTATCCTCTTATTATCGAGAAATTTAATAGGAGTATACATGTTATATTCCGACAGATGGTAAAAAAAGTTGAGAAATTTTCAGAAAAATAAAAAGAAATTTTAAGTTTTATGGGGAAAAACATGGTTTAATTGGAAACCTCTTTAAAATACAATTTCTCAGCAATGCATTGGGATATGAATGTGCAGTTGGTGACACTGAATTAAATTTTTGGTAGGGTATCTCCCTCCACAATTACTGACATTTCTTCCTGGGGTATCCTGTATAAGGCAAAAGTTTTATGAAATATCATTTTAGAAATATAGACCGGAATTAAATAAGATTAAAATTCCATCACTGCAATTTTCCAAATGTACATAAAAATAATTAAATTATATTACATAACAACTTACCAACAGGTCCCAATTACAATTTTCTAACCACATGATGGCTTCTCCCACATTTTCCATGCCAGTTACTTCCTAAAATGGGAGAAAAATGAAATATAATAAAAATTATAACAATAATAATAAAAAAATCTGTAGAGTTCTTATTCAGATACATATTATTATTTATCTAGAAATGATACGTTAAACATAGGCAAGTTCCTAAACTTGCAAAAATTCCATTGATTGATTGAATCCAACAGCAATGGGCAGCGATTTAAGGGCCATATAGACGACCAAACCTGAACCGACATGTTGAATAGTGTTTTATGACATTTGCCAATGTCTCAACCCATGTTGTTGGTTCAACTCCCCGTACCAACTTCTTAAGAAATTAATATAGATGGAAAGTAAACTGAATATAAATATATAAAGTAAATTGAGAAATAAAATAATAACTGAAAAATAAACAATGTAATAACTGAAAGGTTTGGCGAGATAAGAAGAGGGAGGTTATGTGATATAACATAAATAACAAGGGAGGTTTCATCCCGCCCGGCTAATGTACAAGTACCGTTAAAAGTTCCTAAACTAAAAAAAACACAATCTTTATTCCACTGTTTGCATAAAATGAATAAACGAAATAAATATTTTTTCTTAAAAAATAAAAATAACAAAATTAAATTAAATTCGTCTAAAAATAAATTAATTCCAATTTGAAATAAATAATAATAAGGCTTAGCGAAATCGAAGGTTCGATGCCGATACCACCAATCGATGTCCACATTCTTCCATACACCGGGCACAGTCTAAACCCAACCCCACCAGATCAGCCTTAACGCAGTCTGGCCACCTTCGCTTTAGTTTACTCCTCGGACGCTTGTCAGTCGGAACAGTGAATACTAATTTTTTAGGAATTCTTTCGTTACTAAGCCCAGCAATTTTACATGCCCATTTTATTTGCCTCAACTAAATCATCTAGTTTCCTCACCCCAGACGAGGAAGAAATCAATGAAGCCATAGAAGGACTAAAAAGCAATAGAGCCCCAGGCATTGATAACATCCCTGCAGAGTTCTATAAACATGGTAGTCAAGAGCTCATAAAACTCCTCCAGGAAATGTTTCATGCCATTTGGGTTGATGAAGAGCTTCCAAGTGATTGGAAAAAATCCATTATATGCCCAGTGTACAAAAAAGGGGAGGTCTATTAATGTAATAATTACAGGGCCATATGCCTTCTACCCACCGCCTATAAAATTTTTTCGAGGATTCTTTAAGGGTAAATCAACCATCGATCAAATATTCACCTTGCGAATCCTTCTGGAGAAAACCAAAGAATATCAAATTGGTACACATCACATCTTCATTGATTTCAAACAAGCATATGATTCCATACAAATAAATCATATGCATAAATCGTGAGGAAGCATACAAAGCAATGGTAGAAATGAATGTACCTAAAAAAAAACTTGTAAGGCTTGTTAGAATGACAATGGAGGGTAATGAGTGTTTCGTACGAGTAGAAGGTGACTTGTCAAAGGGGTTTAGAACATCGACAGGTGTAAGGCAGGGAGACGCTCTGGCATGTCTGGTATTCAACTTTACCCTTGAAAAAGTCATAAGGGATTCTGATATCCAGACTACAGGAACCCTCCTAAATCAAATGACCCAAATACTTGGATATGCGGACGACATTGATATAATCGGAAGATCGTTTGCGGCAGTACAGGAAGCTTTTCCAAGTCTGGAAGAGTCGGCAGCCAAAATTGGTCTTATTATTAACGCGTCCAAAACAAAATATATGTCCACCCTATCCTCACGTCTAACAAGGGAAAACCAAGCATGGCTGGAACAGCGTGGAATCGAGAATGTTGACGAATTTGTATACCTTGGTTCATTGATAAATGCACGAAATAACATTGATTGTGAGATAGATAGGAGGATCTCAGTGGCTAATCGGTGCTATTTCTCCTTCCAGGGACATCTTCGCAGTAAAATGTTGTCAAGACAGGCCAAAATAAGAATATATAAAACTCTTATTAGACCAGTGCTCACATATGGCTGTGAGAGTTGGACCTTAACTAAAGCAGTTGAGAAATCCCAGTTAAGATTTGAAAGGAGTATTATACGACGCATATTTGGAGGGGTCCAGGAAACACCACAGAATTGGAGGAGGAGAACGAATTGGGAAATGAAGACATTGTTTAATGACCTGGATGTGAGCCAATTCATCGTACTGGCAAGACTATGCTGGGCGGGACATGTCGAGCGGATGGATATGAATGCACCCCCACAGAGAGCTATGAATGAGCCTGTGTTTGGAAACAGACGAGTGGGAAGATCATGTTTGCGCTGGCAAGACTGTGTGGCTGCTGATGCATGTAGACTACTTGGTGTCAGAAATTGGAAGGCTGCAGCAACTAACCGGGAGAACTGGAGATCCATGCTGGAGCAGGCAAAGTCTCAAATAATTGGGATGTAGTGCCATTTAATATATAAATCATCTCAATTATATCAACAGGATACAGTTGTGTAACTGCCTAAATTCTCTGGTTGACTAATCCTTCTACGGTACGAATATTCTGCGCAACACTTTATTTTCAAAAACCTTAAGAGGTTTTTGATGTAAGCTCATCCCTTAAAGTAAAAGCGGCCATGTTTCACATCCATGAAGAATTGTAGGAAGGATAATAGTTTTGTAAATTCTAATTTTTAAGTTTCAGGACAGGAAACGTGAACTAAGTAGTTTTGACAAAGAAAAATAACAAGCATTTCCCGCCTTCAACCTTTCCCGGACCAGAGGGTGAGGGCGGGGAATTTAAAATCCCCTCTGGTACTGGGACGCGAACTCATGACCATTTTCATATCATAGAATCATATATCCGGTTGCCGGGCAACGGCGGTGCAGTGCACACGCGTTAGCCCATTCGGCCACCCCGCCCTCAAACCCGCCTTCAACCTAACCTTAATATCCTCTTAAATTTTGTTTTTCTGGTTATCGTAGACCCTAGATACCTAAAATTCTGTACGTGTTCAAACACATTCCCTTCAATATCGATATCATCGAAATTGTCACTGTTTTTTCCAGAAGAAGTGAAATTCCTCAATAATTATTACAATCTGTCCTCGGGCCCTTTTTGTGAAGCAGAATAAGAATAGATTCTTTTCATTATTCAGACAATTTCTCATCTTCCCAGATCTTTTTAATCAAAAAATTAATTCACTAAGGAATATCCCCCGGTTCCTGCTGCTTCAAAAGATTTTAATTTTCTGATAGCTTGTACAACTTCCTCTTTACTTGGTTCTTCTATTAACGGTTCAGCACTTTGGTACTCAGAAGAAGGACAACTTGAAATTAAAATAAAGAATATTTATATAAGTTTTAACTTTTTTGATAATAACTCATTGTATGATTTTCTTGTCCCCAATCTCTTTGTTTGAGTAAAGATACAGATTAGAGTAGGCTGTTTATAGAAACAGTTTAAAACAAATTTGGTGACATATACGCACTTCACATGACTCACTGTAACCTCAACAAGCTGCAGTCATGGTGGTGAACAAAGTCTCAACAATTAAATGTTTTAATTAAATACGACTAGATGATAAAACTCACTGCACTGATATCACTCTCTACTTTTAGTCGATAAGCAAGGAGATATGAATGCAGATCGAATTGAGTGTCAAATATAAAACTCCTACAAGCTGATGGTAACGTTGAGCCATTAGTGATTCAACTGATAAATAAAGTGTACAATATTGAGGGGCTCGGTACATGCTATATGACCCTTTTTTTGTGAAATAAAAAATGAAGAGTTTGATGGAGGAATATCTGTTTATGAAGTTACTACTTATTTTGTTAATTTCCTTTTATTTTGTTTTCCAATTAATATCTCTGAAGGGGCAATTAGTTTTAGTGGATTAATCAAGTGTAATAATTTTAACATACAATTTGATGAAGGGCCAGTCTTATGCCTGTGGTTTTATGGCTCCATTAGCCGTAAATTCAGTAGAGCAAGTGGTCATTCATGTTAGACACTGGCTGTCTTTCCTGAAGTCGGCTGAGCAAGTGGGCCATGAGCTGTGTGCTTAGTCGTCAAGCATCTGAACTTTAGACGTAGATAAGACACACCCAAAGAGAAGGTAGGACAGGATAAGACCGGGGGGCCCCCATTGTTATTATTTCAAAGCAACTTACAATATAATTCTTAATAATATATATATATATATATATATATATATATATATATATATATATATATATATATATATATATATATATATACAAAAATTATGGATGTAAATGAGAGGTGGGGATCAATAATCAGCTCTATTGATACGAAAATGAGAGATCAAAACTGCCTCCAGCATCCAAATTTACAAGGTAAAAACATATAAGCAGTAAGTACATAAATAAATATACAAATAATCATACATATGCACACGCAAGTAAATTAAATAATGATATAAAATGCAACATATATGTATATATAATAACAAATGAATAAATACTATATAAAAAATAAGTATGGATAAAATTAAATAAAACTGCTATATATATTGATGCATTGTGGCAATGTTAATTGAATCGAACAATGGCCAATGTATATAGTTCGTAAAGCTGTGATTCGACTCACAAAATCACTGCCGCGATAAATCTTGCCGCCCACCAAGATGAGTCCAGAGTCATTGACATAGTAGAACCACAACCGTGAGGGGAAATGTGTATCTCGTAATCCCACCGATACGTCAGTCAGTGTGGATCGGAAACGGCAAAGTTATTAGAAAACGTGTTGGCGGAGCGAAAACAAGGATCACGAAATGATTTACACGCACGGATAGATCTTTGGTAAGCATATCAATTCTCCGGGAGGAGAGTTTCGGTAAACGACATATAAGACCCGACGGAATTGAGAATTCCGAATATGATGAAGGTCGCCTCTGGCTAAGCGGCAGACAAGAAAATGTCGTTAAGCCTCGTTAACACACGTGGATATCCCTCACGGACCGAAATTACGAAAACGGCTAGCGGCAAGACATGGAAGTGTCGTTATCCCTAGCGAACATGCGCATGATTCATGTCATACGGATGAAATGCC